ATTTTCAAATAATCTAGCCATTTCTATTTTATATCTAGCGGCGTAATCGCTATCAGTGCTAAATTTTCGTAAAAACACCTTATTTCGAGAAAATGAGTAACTATAAGAATTAGGCATAGCTAACTCATCCTTTTTGAACGGTAACCCTACCTCCTACTGTACCTTTAGCACGAACCAATATCGAATTCGTAACGTTTGCGAGTCCGAAATGTCATTGTCAAATGTGTACTGATTTTTAGTTCTCGTTACGTACTTTGTGGCGCTTCTGTTCAAGTTTCCATACAAAATTTGACATTGACATTTCGCACTCGCAAACTATTCGAATTAGATAATGGTTCGAGCTAAGGGTTACAGTACCCCCTTTATATACGTGGGCAAAACCTCTATTTACAGACGTTGACGCCCCTAAGGGGCACACCAACGAACGGATCCCACACATAGCCTCTCGCAAGTCTCAAGGGTGTGAAACGGAGAAGCCGTTAGGCAGTCCGCGCGAATACCCTCTACGTTGTTAAGTACGGAACCGCGATATCTCCGTTGTGGGACTTCACCGCGTCTCCGCGCCTAACAGCCTCCCGGTCTAGCCGGGGCCCCACGGCAGGAATCACCCAGGGTATTTTGGGTGAACCCGCAGACGTGCGTAGGACTGCCCGCGCTAGAAGGTAAGTGCGCGGCCTAATGCCCACCGCACGGGTTACAGTTGGCATGAACTGTTATCGAATTCGAATTGTTTGCGAGTGCGAAATGTCGTAGTCAAATGTGTACTGATTTTTAGCTCTCGATACGCACTTTGTGGCGCTGCTGTTCAAGTTTCCATACAAAATTTGACAATGACATTTCGGACTCGCAAACTATTCGAATTCGATAATGGTTCGTGCTAAGGGTACTGATTACCTATTTTCCGAGACGTATTCTCTAATATCCCAAACATCAGCCTTATTTTCACGATATACGGTTAAAATTCCTACAGAATCGATATCGAATGTTTTTTTTATCAACTTATTTAATTCAATAATATCAGATTTGTTTTCTTCGGATTGAGCGAGATGAAAACGGATTGAGCGAGATGAAAAGTAGGTTCACTTACCTGAGTGAGCAAGTGAGTGCACCATAGTAGCCATGAATGGACCATCCCAATCAACATATAGTTGCATATGGAGTATTTCTGTTTCCGTGCTTTATTTCGACTGGATCGATAAGAAAGTAATTATCTACACCTATGAGTAAACGGGGTATAACACATTGTTTACATATTCTTTTATAGGTAATAAATGTTAACATTTGAATATATTGATAATAGACAAATTTAAAAATTAAGTTTTGATACCTTTCGTAACGTAAAGTAAGTAGTAACCTACTTAACGCTGTCCATACAGTTATTACCGATCTGCAGATGCACTTTCAGGGCGTCCGATTGATACACTTAGATTCCAAACGCATCAATGAACTTTATAGACAAACCCTGCTCACTCGTCAGTCCTACGGTGTTAGCTAATTCAGAATCGATCATTGACAGTTGACACTGATGTGGCGTCATCTAATAAAGCTATATTCGTGTTAAATATACCGTTAGGTCCATACATTGCATTGTACGTTCCCACTTCACTCGCGCGACATGACACCAGCCCCTCTAGCATAACCACCGAAATGGGATATGATAAAGCGATATATCGGCATTAAGAGCCGTAACGCACTGTCGACAGGTCGCCGGCGACTCGGTCTCTCGGCGACCAAAACAAAGGCAACTAGAGACGGAGACCAAGCCGAGCGACAGTATTCCAAGTACAATCGATTTCCACGTCCAGTCATTAACCAATAAATAATGACAGCTGCTTACTAGCCACCATTTATTATTATTAGTCCAGGCAACGAATGCTCAAAAACAGGTATAGAGGGAAATGCTTGGAACACAATTTTTGACTTTGTAACTTTGTTAGGACTAGTTAGGAGGTAAACATATCAAAAGTCCCCGACCGTAGCCCTTAAGCCGGGGGGGGAGGGGGGGGATTGAAGGTCCCATTTTTAGGTTTTTCGCATATATCTCGAAAACTATGCATCCTAGCGACATGAGACTTTCACAAAAGTGAAAGCTGATTAAATTTGCTACAAGTCTTATGCAGTCAAATTTTTTGAGATCTTGTATAGTTTTCGAGATATCCGCTCTTGAAAGTCTGTAATTATGGAAAAAAATTTGCTTCACATTTTTGCTCATTTGACCGGATAACTCTTCAACAATGCACCCAAAAAATAAATGCCGGCCGTAGGGTAGTAGAGCATTAAATTATCTTCAACTAGCTGTGCCCCGCGGTGTTACCCGCATTTAATTAGGGATATTTTCTCGCAGTAAAACGTAGCCTATGTGTTAATCCAGGGTGTCAGCTAACTCTATACCAAATATTAATAAATTCGCTCCAGCCGTTTAGACGTGAAGAAGTAACAAACATACACACTCACACACTCACAAACTTTCGCCTTTATAATATTAGTGTGATAATAGAAACAATTGCCTTTTTTTTTATTTAAGGACAAAATTGTTAGGGTAGTAGACGTATGGGGGCGGTACGGTGGGCACTAGGCCGCGTACTCAGCCCCCACGCGCGGGCCGTCCTGCGCACGTCTGCGGGGTCCCCGCAATACCCCGGGATACCCCTGCCGCGGAGCCCCGGTAAGGCCGGGAGGCTGCTAGGTGCGGAGACGCGGAAGAATCCCTAAACGGGGATCCCGCGGCTTCGCACTAAGCAGCTTAGAGGGTGTTCGCAGGGTTTTTTAGCGGATATTATGCCGTAAAGCGCCCGTAAGGGTTACGGGGTCCTCAGTGGGCAGCCACTGCTGGGGCTCGTAAGGCTTGCGGGAGCCAGGTGTGAGGTCCGTTCGGCGGTGTGCCTCTTAAAGGCGCCGTCGTCTGTAAATAGTATTTTTTGCCTGCGTATAAAAAAAAGGGTAGTAGACGTATTGACTAAAGGGGATGTCCTGCGTCGCCCGGTAACAAAACTGGCAGTGATGGCCGTTGCCTAAATAAGTAGGTGTCTACACCGCCGGGGGCCATGTTCACGACCAACACTACCTATTATATGATTTTTTGATTTTCTGTCGATGCACGAAAGACTGTGCAAGTGCTAAGTGCGGCTGCAAAAAAGCAAGCCTCAAATGTTCCCCAGCGTGCCAAAATTGCCAGCTTTAATGGGGTCCCTCAAGTTGACTCCGAAAGTGAAGAAGAACAGGAGGATCCTCTGACCGTTTCCCTACAGGGTTCCGATGGAGAAGATGACACAGAAAAAGAAAATGTAAACGAAGACGAGGATCAAGGTCCTTCCCACCCCAAAAGAGCAAGAAATTGACTATATTGGATTTTTTTACAAATCTCTTTTTGCACGTCATAGTGAATTGTATCTAAAACTGCTGCCGTATTCGTACCTGTATAGCCAATGAGAACCGGAAAAAAACCAGAGGCACAGGGCCCTACCGTCTCAATTTTTTTTAAAGTCCAGTTTCATAATTTTAATTATTATTAATACTACTTTTTGTGTTGAGCTGGACCAATACAACACCAGACAATCTTATCATTTAAATAATCATCTAATTTATAATAACCTTTTTTGCATAAAGTAGTTAACTCTTACAGTTTTTTTAAACTTATTTTCTGGATTAAGTGTGAGGAACCTGGTCAGTGGGCCAACAAGTACATATTCTAAAATGAGCATGTGTGCTATTTAGACATCGGTGCATCGTTGAAGAGTTATCCGAAAGTTATCCGGTCAAATAGAGCAAAAATATAAAGCAATTTTTTTTTCTATAATTACAGATTTTCAAGAGCGGATATCATTATTACAGACATTATTATATCATTATTACAGACATTATTATTAGATAATTACAGTTTCTCAATGAAACTAATTTACTTTCTTTTTTACTTATGGACCTCACACCTGGCTCCCGCAAGCCTTACGAGCCCCAGCAGTGGCTGCCCACTGAGGACCCCGTAATCCTTACGGGCGCTTTACGGCATAATATCCGCTAAAAAACCCTGCGAACACCCTCTAAGCTGCCTAGTGCGAAGCCGCGGGATCCCCGTTTAGGGATTCTTCCGCGTCTCCGCACCTAGCAGCCTCCCGGCCTTGCCGGGGCTCCGCGGCAGGGGTCTCCCGGGGTATCGCGGGGACCCCGCAGATGTGCGCAGGACGGCCCGCGCGTGGGGGCTGAGTACGCGGCCTAGTGCCCACCGTACCGCCCCCATACGTCTACTACCCTAACAATTTTGTCCTTAAATAAAAAAAAAGGCAATTGTTTCTATTATTGAAGATAATTTAATGCTCTACGACCCTACGGCCGGCATTTATTTTTTGGGTGCATTGTTGAAGAGTTATCCGGTCAAATAGAGCAAAAATGTGAAGCAATTTTTTTTCCATAATTACAGACTTTCAAGAACGGATATCTCGAAGACTATACAAGATATCAAAAAATTTGACTGAATAAGACTTGTAGCAAATTTAATCAGCTTTCACTTTTGTGAAAGTCTCATGTCGCTAGGATGCTTAGTTATATATGCGAAAAACCTAAAAATGTGACCTTCAAGCCCCCCCCCCCACCCTTCCCCCCGGCTTAAGGGCTACGGGCGGGGACTTTTGATATGTTTACCTCCTAACTAGTCCTAACAAAGTAACGAAGTCAAAAATTGTGTTCTAAGCATTTCCCTCTATACCTTTTCGTTGCCTGGACTATATAGCCAATTTGAATTTTATGTTTAATTATGAATTTAATATTTTTTTTAAATAAAAACTGCGGTTTGTAGCCGTTTACTCGGTATTTAGGTCCGGGGGGAAAAGGATAGTCCTGCATCACGACTTTTTACTAATTCATCACAGTGATCAGATAAACGATTACTTTAAGTCAGCATTTTCAACCTAATGCACCTATACTCATTTACTGTTTTTCAATAACACGTTGGAACGACATTTAGAAAAGTGAAAATTGTAAATAATCCTTAAATAAATAGCATTTAACGTTAATATATTTATTATAATAAATAGTTACAGTAAAATTTTAAATACCTATATCTATCAACGAGTCCTTTTAAGGGAAATGAAAAGAAACCAGACGTCTTTTCAAACGGCATCCTCGTTTAATCTACTGCATAGATTTATTTAACTATCGATGCTGACGCTTTATTCTAAACGATGCCTTCGAGATCGGGTCGGGGCGGTGCGATCAGCCGCAGAGCGTGTTCTTGCGGCGAGGAGGTGGAACGGCGCGCGTTCTGCGGCGGCGGCGGCGGCGTCCACAGAGCGTCCGGCACGCGGCGGCCGCACGCGCACGTGAGCTCCGTGCCACAATCGGCGTGCGCGGCGCGGGCGCAGTGCAGCGTACGCACGGGCGGGAGGGCCGCCAGCCGGAGGGCGCACGCGACGCAACGGCCCCGCACCGCCAGCCCGCGCCGCGCTGCCGCCAGTGCGCGCGCCACCGCCTCGTGCGCTTCGCGTCCCGCCACGCGTGCCGCGCAGGCCCACCCGCTCCGTCGACTTGCCGCGCATCCCAGCAGCGCCAAGGCGCCGCCACCCGAAGAGCCCGCGTGCGCTATGAGCTTCTCCACCGGCACGTATGCCGCGGCTTCCAGCAGGAGCGCCGCCGGAGTGACGTCCACGCTCCCCAGGAGCCGCGTCCACATCTCCTCCGCGACAGCGGGCGGCACGTTCGACGCTACCCTGACGCATAGCTCTGCCGCTTCCGCGACCGCTGCGGCCGCTGCAGCCTCGTCCCCGCTCCTCAGTCTCGCGCGCCTCAGGATGGTGTCGAGAGCCCGGCTCGGGTCCCCGGCGGCCTCCAAGCACGCGGCCTCGGCATCTAAAGCGTTAATCTCGCGCACGATGGCGAGCGCTCGCTCGGGCCGGACGACGCCCGGATTCCTTGCAAGAAAGTCTGCCACGTCCGCCGGTCTCGTCTCGCCGAGAGCTTTCAGATACGCGGCGGCCGAGTCCCCCTGAAGGCGGCCGCTTTCGAGCAGACACTCTGCGAAGTCTAAAGTTTTTTCGGACGGTGCAGTTTCTAATATGGGTGCCACCTTGTCCAAGTAGCGGTCTGGAATTATCGCTGCGGCGGCTCGCGGTCGAAGTGATATTAAGGCGGGAAGATGTGGCTCGAGATCTAAAGTGTCGCCGTCCGTTTCGATTTTAGTTTGAACGTATTCAAAAAACTCGTCGGCGTCCGTGGGGGAGGGGTGAATTATTCGAAAAAAATTTTGTATCGCTTCATCTGGATTGTGGAGGATGGCATCGATCTTCCAGAGCACGCGGGGGCGGTGCGCGGCCAGCTCGCGCAGGTCGCGCAGGCGGTCGGAGTGCGCGGGCGCGCGGGCGGCGAGCGTCACCCACGCGCGGTCGGCGCGCTCGCCGCTCGTCGCCACCGCCAGTTCCTGCACACCTTTCACCACTTCTTGATCGGACGGAAGTGCTCCTGTACTGAGTTGTCCAGTGATGAATTCCAATATCTCAGTGCGCGCTTTGTCATCCTGAACAAAATAAAAAGAAAAACGATGGATGATAATAATAGTTTATGCGACTGTCACATAAGTGGGGTATAAACACGAGAGTCTGTTTATCGCATTGTAACGTTGTGCGTTAATATAGCCCTTAATAAACAATAAATATAAAAATATTAGAAATTATAACCTAATTATTCTTTAATTAAAAACGAAAACTGCGTCAAAGGCTAAATCTTAATTATTTATCTTAGAAAAGATTTCGCGTTTCGTTTTTTTGAGCGAAGGGGCGGAGTCTCGTGCAGCTGGTAGACGTTATGCCGTTCGGATTTAGCAGCAGGGTTGTCATCGAATTTAGCAAAAATCAGACAAACACTGGTAAAGTACATAATATGCTATAGGGAGTCCTCTCGAAATATTTTTATTGGTCGTAACAACGAAAGAAAGAATTTAAAATATGTAAAGTGATCTAAGGAAAATTGTACTAGAAAATTGACTTGCTAAATATAGAATACAAAATAACGTTTTTTTTAAGCTTTTTCTTCTCTTCATAACAAATTTCTCGCAAAAATTGTTCTTGCAGTCCTCATAATGATACCTATTAATCGAAAGTAGATTAAAAGACAATGCCGGAAATTGGCGCCCTTTTTTTATCGCGCGGCCATTGACCAGACCATGTTATTTAGGTAGAGGACAATGTAACAAACAAAACTTATTATGCTATGTATATCGCTAAACTCAGTCCGAGCTGAGTTATAAAGGTTAGAAGAGAAAAAATATTTCTTTTTTTTGCGCAGATGTCTGTCAAACCTGGTTATTTGGGTATAGACGAATGTAACAAACAAAACTTATTATGCCATGTATATCGGTAAACACAATCCGAGCTGAGTTATAAAGGTTAGAAAAGAAAAAAATATTTCTTTGTTTGCGCAGATGTTGGTCAAACCTTGTTATTTCGGTATAGACTAAAGTAACAAACAAAACTTATTATGCCATGTATGTATATCGCTTAACTCAGCCCGGGCTGAGCTATATAGGTTAGAAAGAAAAACATTTTTTTTCCGCGCTGATTTTGATCAAACCTTATTAAATCGGTATAGAATAATGTTACAAACAAAACTTAGTATGCCTATATAGCTTAACTTAATTCGAGCTGAGTTATGAAGATTAAAAGTAGATATGTGTTTTTTTCGCGCGGTTATTGAGCAAACCTTGACATATGGGTACAAAATGACGTAACAAGCAAAACTTATTATATTTATTATAACATATGCGCGGTCTGGCTTTGTTGTTTGACTTGAGACAGAGACTACCGATACTTCCCTCTTGTTTACACTTCGTAGTCGGTTTGCCGAAATTGAGGCTATGTACTAGTGACAATGAATAGTGGCGTGAGAGCTACGGGAAGGGATGGGAAGGGGGTCCGTGTGCAGTGTGAGTGTGAGTCTATCTAATCGCTCCGCCGCCCCCCCCCCCCCCAACCGTCACCCGCTATCATCCAGTTTGTGGCCAGAAAACTCCCTTCCCCGCCGCCCCGCCGCCGCCACTCATCACTCACCGCTCTTCCGTTGTGTAGTGTGCGCGTGCGTTCTTACAATTATTTTAGTGGATTATTTATATCGGATTTGGCTTCGTTCTATGGACTTACGATATTGATTGCCTAAGTGACGAACTGGATTATGTTTTATGGACTGACATCGATTACCTTACTATGACCAATTGGTTAGTGTTTTTTACGGACTGATATCGATTGCCGGTAGATCAGCTTGCTTGTGGTACTTGATTGAAGTTTATGTGAGGAAGGAAAATAGAGAGAAGACCACAGTGCATTTCTTGCCGGCTCAGTCTTGGTCGATCCAACAATCGACTGCGAAGATCATACGTTTTAACTCCAGACTACATACAACGGCACGCATTTATATTTGATTATTTGGCAGACATCAGACACGTTAGAGAGGTATGTGATGCATTACATTAACTACATTTTATTTTTCATCTAAAAACACAAATAATATTGTTTTGTCTGGGAGAGGAGTGAATAAATTAATATTATTATTTGTGAATTGTTAATTTTAATATAACTACGTAAAACCCCTCAAACGCAAATTGATTGTAATTATTATAAAACGTGCTAACCTTAATAACTAAGATAGAATGTATATTTCCTTTAATCCTCCGCTACATGACAGATACCGTGTTACTAGATAATATAATATAATGTCGACATTTCCGTAACGAATTGACATTGGTTTGCACTCTTTACAATGATATTTTCAATATAATGTCCATTAGCCACCATTACATTTTTTTTAATATTTGTGATAAATAATAAATTATTTGAATATAAATCACAGTAAGGAACAGAAAATCATAACTTAGTCCCCTTAAGAGACTAATTACGGTCTAATTAGGGCGTATGGCACAACAAAATGGCGGAGTCGAGGCGGCTTCGAGTCGCGCGCGGTAGCGCTAGATGCGCCATCACCTCGACTCCGCCGCCATTTCGTTATTCTTTTTTCGGGCGTTTACAAAGAAATGAGTAAAAGAAAAAACAATCGCCCGCGCCTCGACTTTGGCTGTGTGCTATGCGCCTCCGTAGACTTTTTAAATATCGATATTTTATACATACTGAGCTGTCAAACAAGAAATTACAGATTCTAGTTTATAATTTTGGTCCAAAATAAAACATAGTACATTCCTCAAAGTCTACATTTAAAGACTTTTATTTTCTATAGGCGGCATCACTTCTGGGAGAATAGTCATTTAATTTTTTAAATACCTACTTTTATTTGTGAAATCCTATTAAAACTTTAATTATATTGAAGGTTTTTTTTCAGATTGAAGATGGAAATAGAATTTGTAGACCTTGCTTTCAAAGAGCACTGCGCTACAGTCAGCGTCGTCTGAGGCAAGAGGTACCAGCAGTTGCTGGAGCTGAACCGGCAGTAGAAGTTGAACCAGCAGTGGTAGCTGAACCAGCAGTCGGAGCTAAACCAGCACTAGATGAAAATGTGGAACATGCTCTACCCGCTCAAAATGTTTTGAGATTTCCTGTGTCAGGATTCACTAGAGCGCCTTTTAATACAAGGTTGTGTATTTTTCAAAATTGTAACGGCCTACAACTAACCAGAATTAATAATATTCTGAGATCCACGATTTTGCGAGATAAAAGTTTTTATATACCATTCGGCGCAAGAGTCTGTGAAGAACACCGTTTTGATCCTGCATGGAATGATATACCAGCTATTGTACGCCATGTGTATGCCTTGTTTTCACCTCGCCAAGTAAGCGATATGTTACACCTCTTACAAAGAAGGAAGATATTTTTCAATTTTGAAAGACTCTCATCAATACCTGACGATATTCTTCAATATTATATTGGATTTTCTAAGGCCTACTTTACCCAAGTCTTGGAGAGTTCTCCATCTATTACAAGGGAACATCCAAAAGCAGCTACAGCTTTAGCTACTCTTTTAGTTAAGCTACATACAGGAGAACCAAACCAGAGATTATGCAGTATATTTAAAATGGCACGATCAACGTTTGAAGAAAAAATGAATAGCGTTATAAACGCTTTGATGGATGAATTTGTGCCAAGATATATGGGATATAATCATATTACTAGAGAAGAAGTTATATCGCGATGCCTGGCAATACCCAACGCTTTGTTCGGTGGCCGAGATGGAGAGGAACGAGCCATTACCATCTACGATGGCACCTATATATACCTGCAAAGAAATACAAATTATTATTTTCAGAGAAAGTCTTACAGTCTGCATAAATGGCGGCAACTGTACAAACCCTATCTAATGGTCTGTCCTGACGGTCACATCATAGACATATACGGCCCTTATGAAGCTACAACCTCAGACGCTACAATTTTAAATACTATGCTTGTAAATTGTCAAGATCCGTTGAATTGGTTCTATCTAATGACGTGTTTATTTTGGATCGGGGTTTTAGAGCTGCCGTTGGTCGGCTCGAATCTGCTGGTTACAATGTACAGATGCCAATATTGAGCACTAGAGGAACCCAGTTAAGCACAGAATAAGCGAATGAGTCAAAAAAAGTGACAATGTGTCGCTGGGTCGTAGAAACCATTAACGGCCGTCTTAAAAATCAGTTTAAACTACAAAGGAACGTAGTAAATAATATAGCCCTAGTTAGTGGCAGACATTCTTCAACAAATAACAAGAACAGCAAATATTGAAAATCGTTTGGCAGCGTACGTCATAGAGAATAATCTCAACGCTGTAAGAGCGCGTTTCCAAGCTGTTACAGCTGGCTATCTAGCCGTAAAAGATTTTCCCCTGTTGAGTCTGGACGACCTCAGCGTTTTTGCAATGGGAACCTATCAATTGAAACAGGCCCGCAGTTACTATGGAGAACACATAAAAATAAATGGGTTTTACAGGATTGAAGTGTGTAGGGAACAACATCTACATGATCTGAGACGATATAATATTATGGCATTTAACTCATGGCTATTGAGAGGACGAATCCAGTCACGCCACAGACAAGCTAAAACTTATTACAATTACGTTTTAATAGAAGAGGGTATGCAAGGCATACAAGCGATACACGCTCATTACTGCAGGTGCGTCGTGGGTAAAAGCACTCTGGGGTGTTGTTCACATACCATGTCAATTATATGGTATTTAGGGTACGGAAGACATCAAGAAAATCTAACCCCACCCGCTATTTTACTAGATGATATAATAATTCGACACGATATTGAAAACGAAGCTGATGAATCGTCTGATGACGAATTGTAATATTATGTTGTGCAATATATTAAATACATGATAATTTTCTTTTGTATCACAGAATTTTATTTGCAACTCAAACCTCGTAAAGTATTATGCGTAGGTACTGAATAATGCTTAGTAGTGTAAGTAAACGGAAAAATGAGACCATTACATGATTTTGTTTTTCTCCTGACCTTTAGAGACTGAACTCGTACCGAGTTTAGCTATATACATGCCAGAATTTCTGTATGTTACTTTATTTTGTATCCAAATAATAAGACTTGCTTAGTAACCACACTGAAAAAAATGAACATTAAAGATCTTCCTACTAACCACACCTAACCCTTCTCGAACTGAGTGTAGCGGTCGATATATATGCCATTATTTTTACATTATTTCGTAACTTGCAAGGTTTGCTTATAGCCACGCCCCGAGATTTTTTTTTCATATCTTCAGAACACAGCTCAGACCTCAGATCAATGATATTTTTTTTTAGATTATAATCAACTCGGACTGAGTTTAAAACTATAAAATAATGTATGTGTCATAATAAATTTTATTTGTTACGTTATTCTGTACCTAAATAACAGGATTTAGATAACAACTGAACAAAAAATCAATTTCTTTTTTCTTCTTATATTTCAGCTCAGGCTAACTTGAACTTTAGAATACTTACATAATAAATAAATAAAACTTACATCTGATAGTCCCTATCTCAAACAACAAAGACAGACTGATACATATATTATAATAAGTTTTATTGTATTTTTAATAAGGTTTAGTAAATATCTGCGCGCAAAAAAATCTCTTCTAATCTATTGACTCACCTCGGACTGAGTTTAGCGATATACATGGCATAATAAGTTTTGTTGTTACGATAGTCCATACCCAAATAACAATTTTTGACCAACATCTACGCAAAAGAAAAGATTTTTTTTTCTCTTCCAACCTTTATAACTCATCTCGGTCTGAGTTTAGCGATAATAAGTCCATGGCATAATAAGTTTTGTTTGTTACGTTAATCTTTACCAAAATAACAAGGTTTGATTAACATCTGCGAAAAAAAAAATTTTTTCTATCCTTTATAACTCAGCTCAGACTGAGTTTAGCGATATACACGGCATAATAAGTTTTGTTTGTTACGTTATTCCATACCCAAATAACAAGGTTTGACCAACATCTGCGCAAAACAAAGAAAACTTTTTTCTCTTCTAACCTTTATAACTCAGCTCGGACTGAATTTAGCGATATACATGGCATAATAAGTTTTGTTTGTTACATAAATCTATACCAAAATAACAAGGTTTGACCAACATCTGCGCAAAAAAAAGAAAAAAACATTTTTTTCTTCTAACCTTTATAACTCAGCTCGGACTGAGTTTAGCGATATACATAGCATAATAAGTTTTGTTTGTTACATTGTCCTCTACCTAAATAACAAGGTTTGGTCAATGGCCGCGCGAAAAAAAAAAGCGCCACCTTCCATACAAAATCCGGCATTGTACTTTTTTTACGGATTTCATACGGATTTGATAAAAAATAAAATCATACGGATTTAGTATGAAATCCGTACGGCAATTTGGCATTAAACATTACGGACACATCTGTTAAAGTTCTGGCAACACTGTTCAGCAGTCACACCGGCATAGCCTCGGAGTGCAAACGTGTTGTTTTTTTCTTTGAAGGCATTTATTTAAAATACATCGCGAATTAAATGTGAACAAGAACTCCCGCTGGGGTAGTTTCTAATATTGTCTTGGCTTAATAACATTTGTAATGGTGTTCTCCTTTCATGGTAAGCACTACGTAACGCCAGTAGTGTTCCAATTCCTATATATTTTTTAAACACATAGCCGTTGGTCGCTACTGCCTTTGGGGTTCTAGGTGCAATGAAGACATTAGAACTGAGACGTTAATGCCGGAGTAATCTCTAACCTGTCAAACGATGGCAAAATTTTGGAAAAAAAGGAAATTCTTCGGTTGTATCCGACCTAACGCTTGGAACTTTTGAGGAGCTGTACCTCCTACCTACCTGTAGAAAGGACTTCATTAATGCCTGTGTTTTTCTGTTTACCTACCTACCGAGACGTGACGGTCACGGAATTGAATTGGGCAAATAAAGGATTTGTTTTTAAAATAAATCTTTTATTTCAAACTTTTAACTACCTGCGATCTGAACAGACCACAGCATGACTCGAAGCCGAATGCGATAATAGGTTGACTCGAGTGTTTTAATACCTAAATTATATGCAGTTGCACACACTACATTATCTTCACTCGTAGGAACAATTGAAATCAAACAAAGTAACATAGAAGTATTTGCAAACCTTTCTGAAATCCCGAAAACAAAACACAATCAGCGGAAAATTGTATGGGAAGCGTATTAATTTCGAATGCGTTCGTCTCTTTTTTACAATCAGCCTATATCATAGCCTTGTTTTATAAATTAAAAAATAAAAGTGTACTTTAATGATTCAAAAGTTATTTTACGATACAGCTAGCAGAACTGACTATGAGTTTTATTTTTAATTTGTGTATGAGCGTTTATAAAGTACGTCTATTAAAACTATCTTTAATTTCATAATTCGAATATAAAATAATAATCATAATCACCAAAACAAGTCTTAGTTGAGACTTTTTTGACATAACATCTTAATATAGTACCAACTGTCCCAGCGAACTTCGAAGCACCATAAAAAAATAGGGGTTGGTGGTAGAAGGGTGAAAATTTAGGGTTGCATATATTTTTGTATGATGTATCTATCACAAATAAATAAAAACAAAAAATATTGTTCAAAAAGAAAAAAAAAATAAGGGTACCCTTAACATTTAGGGGGATGAAAAACAGATGTCGAGCCCTTCCGGAGTAGTCCTTCCTTCCGCACACCGTGACACGAAAATTTTATATATTAGAAGATACTAACCTGCAGTTCTGGAGTCATCTCAAGTAGTGCTCGCGCGACCCTCAGGCGGTTCTGTTTGGCAAGCGGGCCAGCGAACGGCGGCTCGCGAGCGCTCTGTTCCAGGAGCCGCACGGCGGCGCTCGCATCGTGCATTACCATTACACGCAACGGCGACTGGCCGTCACACCGCACCTATCGTGCAAGCAAATTAAAACAAACCCCTTAGCACGAATCAATATCGAATTCGTAACATTTGCAAGTCCGAAATGTCATTGTCAAATGTGTACTGATTTTTAGTTCTCGTTACGGCCATTGTGGCGCTCCTGTTCAAGTTTCCATAAAAATTTTGACAATTACGTTTTGGACTCGCAAACTATTCGAATTAGATATTGGTTCGTGCGTTCAAGACTTCATTCGTTACAAGAAATCATGAAACAGAAAGAACTCAACGCGCCATTTCGATCACGGCATTAGCTGCGACCCGATAGTAGCGGCGATATTTAGGAAGCGTTCCGATACGAGACTGTGCAGCGCGGCCCAGCAGCGACTGCCGTGATCGGAATGGCAAATTTAACGTTGTATTGATATTGATAAAAAATTTGTAAACTTTGAGGTCTTCTGTTTTTGTCTTCCTCTGGGCTGGTGATCTTAGCCCAGGGGCCGCGGCCCCCGGCCGGGGAGCCTCCAAATTCCGTTAGCCCGATTGTAGGATTCCATACTATTATTGATGACATTAAGTTCATGGGCAGTATTGCCATCTGTTCATAAAACGAGTAATGTTTTGCTGGTTTAGATGTGGAGCGTGCAGATGAGTTAGAATACTACTGGTCAGTTTCTGAATTCGCAAATTTCCTTATTTTTCACTTTCACTAACTGTCAATTTCCTATTAAGTTGGTTTCCTGGTTCGCAAGTTTCCTCGGTAGTCAAGTTAGTTTAGATTGGCAGTTTTGCTATTTTGTCATGTTCCCAACCCGTTACTTTTCCTTGTTCACAAGTTTTCTTGTTTGTTTGTTAGTTAAGATTGTGTTTTACTACTCCGTCATGTCATGTAATATGTATATTTATTTAAATACCTATGATACCCGATTACAGTTAAGTATGAAATAACGAAACAGCCTAGTAAAACTACTGAACGAGGAAGCTGAAGGATTACAAACTGACAAAATTGTCTACCTAACATAACTGACGAATAGGTAAACCGTTCGATAAGCGAAGCTGACAAATAATAAAATTAGAGGATGGCAATTTTGGCAATTTCTCGAAACTGACATCATAGCAAAACTAGAGCATCAGGAAACTAAACAATCAGGAAAATCCCAAAACCAGCGAAATAGTGAACCTTAACTGGCAAATTTGCGAAATTGATGAGTAAGATAACTGACCAGTGGTATGCTAACTAGTGAAGATGTCGTGGAGGCCGTCACTGCTCGTCTGTTATATGACAGCGGTTCAGGGGGTCTACTCTCTTTCTCCGAAACGTACTTTCGGTAACGAAGTTCAAACGAAATTTTTGTTTTCAATTTGTACGATACCTAATTTGAACGATTAACTATTAAATTCAAATTTTCGTTGAGTAGGCTAAGAAAATCTAAACTTCAATCAATTTTCGGGCGAAAAGGACATGGTAAAGTTTTGTATGAGCGACTGCCCTGGCAATGTATAAATACTGTACTACTGTAATATTTTATGGTAAATGACTGAACATTTATAATTTCTATGAAAAAGGCTCAGGAACTTTTGATAAAGTCGCAATCTTGAAAATTATGAGAACTTCTACTGTCATTGTCTTACTACAGTTGATAAAAGATGTTGCCAATTATTTACAGTCATCAATTTCGCATTTTCTTAGAATTTTTCTTCCCATTTCTCTGATTAACTCTTCGCAAAAAGTGTTTTTAAAGCAAAAATAAATACAAATAATTTGTTATGGGCGGCCTGATTTTTTTTTTCGTTTGTCCTTTCGGACAGGCTAAGGTCTGGGACCATACTGCCTCATCATTATGTGCATCTGAATTGAGTGATCCTTTTTTAGTTTTCAATAAAACCAAAACGTACATTTAGTCAAAACTCATAACCGAAATCGAAAAATTTGTCACTCTCAGGCGATCGAAGATATTGCCCAAAATGTGAATCACTCAATTCAGACACTAGGCAAAATAGTATACGCTGAATCTCAGAAAACTTTAACGTTGTGAACGAAATTTTGATATTAAAAAATGTACAGAATTTGTCACATTATTTTACAAAAAATCAAGTTACTTCAACGTAAATCCAGGAATCTATGATATTTTCATTGGATCACTCAATCCTGACGCATTTAGATTGAATGATCCTAGAAATACGGCGTTATGTTTGCGAAGTGCATAATATTTTTTATCACCTTGAAGTTAACTTTTGGAAATACTTATCTGTACAAATTAATAACACACCACAAATGCTTATAGTTAAAAAGTTATGACCAATTAAACCTTTTTTAATTTGCTGAACTGAGTGATCATTATAAACGCATGTAGACAACTACCTCTTGGTATAAAGTATACACAAAATAGGTTGAAAATTTGTACAATATTTTGACTAAAATTTGGCATATAATTTATTTGAATAGGTCATTTCATTCGCGAGATTTTCGTTTTATTTTATTGTCAAAAGAAAAGACCAATAGGGTGACCATAATACGATTTTTGAAAATTAAAGGCTACAAACATAAACATTTTTCTTATTTATTGAAATTATAAATCGCAAAATACGTATATAAGTACATGTAAAAAAAATAGGTGATTCTTTTTTAATGTTATAAATATTTTGCATATTATCATCGTAACAAACCATGCGCCCGTTTATATAGCCGTGGGCTCGATGATGACCGATTCCACCAGGTTGCATAGAAGGTATAAATTCTATACCTCCTAGTAATCTGTAGGACCTATTTTTAACTAAAATCCTTTCGGGCACATCATATAAATTAATGTTTTCTGTTCCATTTACCTCCTCATCAGCAACAAATTAATCAGCATCAAAACAGAAAACAAATCTCCCTCTTCATCAGCCGCTGAAAGTCATTTTAAAACATTAAAAAATTAATTTTTAATACAATACTATTCAGATACCGAATCGATCAATTTATAAAAACTTCTTAAGAATATTTAGAAAGAGAATTCGAACTTGCTATATGTGATATTTGTCAAGATGTCCAAAATAAAAAAACTTCTTCTAAATTAATGAAACGTCCAAAACTTAGAGCTCATCAACATTTCTATACAGATTCATTTTTTTTCAGATAAAACTTCATACCTTTCTACATCGGGCAAACAGAGAGGAGTATAGGGACTCGGGTAAAAGAACATATCGCAGATATGAACCATAGGCGCGAAAATAAGTCTGCAGTATGTGAACATGCATTAGGGGGACCAAACCATTACATTAGGTTTGATAAACCACAGATACTTGCAACTGAGCAACGATTCGTTCCTAGAATGATACGCGAGGCTATTGAGATTAAAAAATATCCAAATTTCAATAGGGAAGATGGTTGGTATATACTACCAGCTTGGGAACCCATTATACAAGAGATAAAATCCCAACCCCGAGCACACACTGCAAGACCAACAGATACTACTAGTTCTTTTTGTTTGCATGATTTAACATAAGAAGGAGATAGAAAGCCTCTCTGAGTTTGTTTCGCCGGTTCTTCTCAGAAAGGTCTCCCAATTTTGGAACCGGTGGTAGTTTATGGTAGTTAGGGTCAAATAAATCCCACCAAAAACATTATGTAAAAAACTAGCCAAGTCTCGATGGAGCTGCTTGTTTATCTCTAAAAAGTAATGAAATCTAGACAAAGCCGTGCCAAGTCTAAGAAAGATTAAGATTTATTAAAAATGCTCACTTGATTAGTTCCACCCTTGTTGGTGCCAATGAAATACAATTAGCGAATACATGTGCTTTTGATTCAGTAATGTATGCTTTAGGATGAAACCACTACAAACATATTGAAGAAGACATAAACAATCTCACAGATGAAAACATTAGAGAATACATTACTTTTTTAAGAGAGACTGATTCAAAGCATGATCAATATAAATTTAGGTGCCAAATAGCTGTTCAATATTTTACCAAAAACCAGGTCACGCAAAAACCATCGATTGAGCTTGTAATGTAACCCACATTTTCGAATCAATTCTACTAAATTGCTTTTCAAGTGCAGTTTCCACAAAAACGTGCTTAACAGAATCTTCCACGTCACCGGAAATAAAGAGAAATATTGTATTCTTGCCATTGAATCTAAACATAATAAATGTATTTACTATTTACGCCCTAAAAGATGCAATTTCTTGTAGCGATGAAAAGGGAACTTACATTTCCTGTAAATTACGAATAGGTACTACTATTTATAATTACGAATTTTCAAATATTGTTTCAATGGACTTAAATGGAACAGAAAAACTAAATTTATATGATGTGCCCGAAAGGATTTTAATTAAAAATAGGTCCTACAGATTACTAGGAGGTATAGAATTTATGTCTTCTGTGCAACCTGGTGGAATCGGTCATCATCGAGCCCACGGCTGTATAAACGCATGGTTTGCTACGATGATAATATGCAAAATATTTATAACAGTAAAAAAGAATCACCTATTTTTTGACACGTACTTACATACGTATTTTTCGATTTATAATTTCAATAAATAAGAAAAATGTTTATGTATGTAGCCTTTAAATTTCAAAAATCGTATTATGGTCACCCTACTGGTCTTTTCTATTGGCAATAAAATAAAAACGAAAATCTCGCGAATGAAATAACCTATTCAAATAAATTATATGCAGAATTGTAGTCAAAATATTGTTCAAATTTTCAACCTATTTTGAGTATACTTTATACCAAGGGGTAGTTATCTACATGCGTAAAGGATCACTCAGTTCAGCAAATTAAAAAAGATATTTCCAAAAGTTAACCTAAGGTGATAAAAAAATATTATGCCCTTCGTAAACATAACGCCGTATTTCTAGGATCACTCAATCTAAATGCGTCAGGATTGAGTGATCCAATGAAACTCATAAATTCCTGGATTTACGTTGAAGTAACTTGATTTTTTGTAAAATAATTTGACAAATTCTGTAAATTTTTTTAATATCAAAATTTCGTTCACAACCCTAAACTTTTCTGAGATTCAGCGTATACTATTTTGCCTAATGT